CCCATTGCAACTTAGTAATAGTTTTACTTTACACACACACACACACACACACACACAGACAGACAGACAGACAGACAGACAGAACAAACTACTTGATTATTTTGGCCTTCCAGTTTCTATGCTTCTCTCAAGGCAATGGGCAAGAGTTAAAGAATCAGGTTTTCATTTTGAGCAGGGCAGAGTTCTAAAAAGGTGCGTGCGTGCATGCGTGTGTAGGTACGTACCTGGGATGTGCAGTCAGGGGAGGCAAGGGAGGCAGGGCCTCACCACTGTCATCATGAAAAGAAAAAAAAATGTAAAAGGAAAAAGGCTGAGGTAGTTGTTGCCAGAGTCACAGTGGATGCTTAGTGCTTAACTGTTTAAAAAAGCCTCTAAAAAAGTGCCCTCTACAGGANACTTGAGGGTAGAACAAGAAGCAATGGGTGGAAACTAATCAAGGAGAGAAGCAACTTAGAACTGAGGAGAAATTTCCTAACAGTTAGAACAATTATCAGTGGAACAGCTTGCCTCCAGGAGTTGTGAATGTCCCAACACTGGAAGTCTTTAAGAAGATGTTGGATAGCCATTTGTCTGAAATGGTATAGGGTTTCCTGCTTAGGCAGGGGTGGACTAGAAGACCTCCAAGGTCCCTTCCAACTCTGCTATTGTATTGTATTGTATTTTATTGTATTGTATTATTGTAAATTAGTCTATTTTGATACTCACATGAAAGCAGAATAAAACCAACAAATAAATAAAAAAGCAGGGTCTTTACTATCAAAACCTTTTATGCAAAACATTTTGATATAAACTGTTTCAAACACAGAAATCCATAAAACAGTGAACTTCAAAGATTTTGAAAATGTTTTACACTCAAAACAAAGCTGTTCTGAGTAAACAAAACTGATCATAGCTCTATTTGTAATATACATTCAAAATATTTTAAAGTAAATAAACCAAAATATTTATAACTAATTTTGAAAAATCTACTATTTTAATTTTGTATATCAATGTAGTTTAATAACACAGTTATATTTAATATATTTAATAACATTATTATCATTACAATGGCACTGAGTGCACCACTGAAGGACCTGAAAGATCAAGTTAGGGATAGATTGTCATGGAGAAAACCTGCTGTATTTTTCGGAGTATAATACACACTGGAATATAAGACGCATCAAGGTTTTGAAGAGGCAAATTTTAAAAAGTAGGTAGGTAGATAGAGGGATAGAGAGGGAGAGAAAGAGAGAGAAATACAATAGGTAGGTAGGTAGGGAGAGAGTAGTTAGATAAGTAGGTAGGTAGATAAAGGGATAGAGAGAGAGAAAGAGAGAGAAATACAGTAGATAGGTAGGGAGAGAAAGAGTAGATAGGTAGGTAGAGGGATAGAGAGAGAAAAATAGAAAGAGATNCATTTCTTATTTTTCTGATATCCTTTTTCAATTCGTAGTTTTTAGCTATTGTCTCTTGCATAACCTGTAATATCATCTGAAACTCCTTGGTTGAATTAGATCTTTCTCTCTGGAGCATATCCTCAGAGGATCTTTGGTTCAAAAGGATAGTGGCCACTAGAGAGGGCTGGGATGCTGACTTCCTCCCTGTGCCAATTTTTGATAGATTTGCAATTTATGCTCCTAATGACAACCAAGGTGAATTTTATAGAAAATTACACATGAAAATAATTGAACTTGATTACGTCAATATTTGTATGCTGCGAGATTTTAATGGAATTGTAGATCAGAATATGGACTATAAAACACAAAAACAACAAAACTAAATAGAAAGACTCTTCCAAAATTGTTTTTTAAAATGACTGATGAGATTTAAAAGATGTATGGAGAGAAAGAAATCCCACAAATAGACAATATACCTTCTATTCGAATAGACATTCATCATGGTCCAGAATAGATATGATATGGATTTCAATGGAATTTATTTGTAACATATAGGAAATTGACATAGAAACAAGCACTTGGGCGGACCACAATCCAATGACAATCAAATGGAAAGGACAAAGGAGAAGATCTAGATGGATGCTAAATAATACTATATTAAAAGAAAAGTACTTTGTACAGAAAACAGAGAAAGAACTGGTGTTGTACTTCAAAGAAAACAGAAAAGAAGACACATCAATGCAGAATCTTTGGGATACAATGAAAGCCTATGCCAGAGGCTTGATTATAGACTATACAAGGAAATGAAATACAAAGAAAAGAAAAGCCTTTAAATACAAGACAATGACTATAAGAGATTTGAAAAAGAGTTACAGAAATCTCCACAAAAATAGGACATTAAAATAAAAATGGACACAATCAAACATAAAATACGGTTAATGGAAAAGGAGGAATTAGCACAAAAGATTCGAAATGCTAAACAGAATTACTTTGAAAATGCAAATAAACCAGGCAGATGGTTAGCGTATAAACTGAAAAGAGAGAATCAAGAAAAATAATACAATTAATAGATGATCAAAGGCAAATTTGTTAAGGAAATGAAGAGAAGAAAAAAAATATACAAGATTACTATAGAAAATTATATGAACAAGAGAATATAGAAGAGGGAAAAGTTAAACAGAAAGCAAATCTACCCCAGATACCTAAAGAAACTGAAATGATGCTAGAAGGCAATATAACAATGATGGAGTTAACTGAAGCACCCTAAAAAATAAAACAATGGAAAATCTCCCGGTCCGGACAGACTGCCAGTGGAATTTTATAAGACATTGCAAAAATTGTTGTGCCTTCCATTATTAGAAGTTAAGAATGAGGTGATGTCAGAGAGAAGAATACCCAAAACATGGTCAGAAGCATATATTACACTTGTGCNTTGGATGTGGGATTGATTTAGAGAATTGGCAGAAATTGTGGTCTCAAAATTATAAAATGACAATGTCAACAGCATATAAAGAAAATTTGTATAAGTTGTTTTACAGGTGGCACCTATCCCCACGAGAATAGCAAGAATGTTCAAGAATAAATCGAAAAGTGTTGGAAATGTCATCAGATACAGGGTTCATATTACCATCTGTCATGGACGTGCATAGAAGCTAAAAGATATTGGACTAAAATTCACACTTGGTTGGAAAAAATGATACAAAAACACATAAACTTTAAACCAGAAATCTTTTTATTGGGAATCATACCGGAAACATAAATAGAGAATTGAAATATTTGATTGTAAACATGTTAATAGCAGCTAGAATTGTATTTGCTAAAAATTGGAAAAATGAGAAAATACCAATGCAGGAGGAAGTTATTCACAAAATAATGGAATGTGCAGAAATAAGTCAATTGACATTTGAAATTAGAGAACAGGAAGGTAAACAATTTTATAAGATATGGGATTTATTCTATCAGTAGTTAGATAAAACATGTAAATGAAAGATATTAGAGAATGCTATAAATACAAGAATAATAGAACGATACAGAATATAACATAAAGATACATTATTATTGGATAGATTTAAGATGATGTAATGAATTGTTATAATATAAATGAATTCAATACCTAGAATATTTTGTTTAAAATGAAGGAATAACAGTGGTAGTCAAATAAATGAGGTACAATGGTAACAATGTATACAAATATATTTGATTTGATAATATGTGATTTCAAATAAATTGTATGTAATTGAAGATGGCTTTATGTTTTATGTTTTGTTTGTCTCTGTCTGTTTAAAAATAAAAACTTTTTTTTAAAAGTGTGTGTGTGTGTGTCTATTTCTCCCCATCTCTTTCTCTCTCCTCTTTCTCTCTCATCTCTTTCTCATCTCTCACTCCCTCTTTCTCTCTCATGTGTGTGTGCGTGTGTGTGCGTGTCTGTCTGTCTGTTTGTCTGTGTGTTCCTTTTTGAACCATTTCTGAAAACAGGCAGGTTGTGGTTGTTGTTGTTGTTTGCAGATGTTGTTATTTCTTCTTCTTCGGATGCATTTTACCATTGATTTAAATCAAGAGTCATTTCTGGTTCTCAGAAAAATGAAGCTCTTTTATCCGCATGCTGTAGCTCTCTGTTGACTGAACCAACCACTGCTTCGCCCTGCCCCTCATCCTCTCCTCCCAATCCTTCCTTGTTTGGCTGAGCAGCTCTCCTCCCCGAGACTGGTCTGGCCCAGCTACAGCTGATGCAACGAATTATAATGGGCTCAAGGAGGAGGAGGGGACGCCGATTCTCCCACTGTAAAACACAGTAAATTTAACTGTGCTTGCGAGAGCAGCGGGAGGTGGCAAGGGCAGCAGCGTCAGCTGCAGCCGAGACAGTATCTCAGGGCAGAGAGCAAGTTGCATGTCTTCCTGAGTGATCAAGGTGTATGCAGCACCAACAAGAGGTAGAAAAACAGGCAAGTACAGGTGAGCTTTGCTCCCACTCTGAAATATGAGTGAGTCTCCATCCCCTGCCATCACGCTTACCTTCTCAGGGCAAGCGAGGAGTGACTGGGAGGGGAGGATGAGGGGTGGGATCAGCCAGTGGTGGGTTCAGGAGACAGGAAGTTCCTGTTCGCACTGTATTGTATAAATGTGGTGTACGTCTAAATTTTGTGTGTGTGTATTTTACATGTTTATTAATAAAAAACTTTTTTAAAAAAAGAAAGAAAATTACTGTGGCAAAAGCAAGCAAAGGTAGTATCAATAGTAATAAGGACCTTGGGTGCAATCCCAAAACAACTGGAGCACCACTTGAACACCATTGGTATTGACAAATTCTCCATCAGTCAATTGCAAAAGGTAGCTTAACTCGAAACTGCTTCTATCATGCAATATCTCAAGCACCATCAAACATCCATATCTGCCTATCCCGGGTCACTGGTAAGGACTTGATAGGTAGATTAAAATGCCATCACCAGTCTGAACATCTGGCTAACTGTGATGAACAATAAATAAATAACTGAACTATGGGTGTTGTGCAGACAGTATTTACCATAGCAACATCATGCAATGCTCTTAAATGAAGAGTCAAAGATTTTTATATTCTAATTTTTAAATATAATTACGTATGCAATGCAAAATTAAGAAATTACTCACTAATTGACTTTCCTGGATAAAGCTTTGCCTGAGGATAGCCAGGGATCATCTTTTCATTTTTAGCTCTTAAATTTTCAAGTTCATGTTTGATAATGTATTGACATTCTGCCATTGTAAGAAAATCATGATTATCCTCTAAACAAAAAAGAAATGCATTGTTGAAAACTAGATTCTTATTTTGACAAGTTCCAATTCTAAAATCCTATATGTAATATGATATATTCAGAAATAAGCTTTCCAATATCCCATTAGAAGAGTCTTCACTTTCCTAAAGCTGTTAATTATTAAGGAAGATACTGTATATTTATTAAAAGTACAGATTACAATGTTTAAAAAATATTTAATAGAAATGCTGAATAACTTTTATAATCACAGAAGACTTAAGCCTAAGCAAAATATTCAATTTTACACTCTAAGTTCAAAAGATCAGAAATTAATAGAATGCTGGAATTCTAAGCAAAATGTACCTTTATGCTTATTGATTTAACAATATATCCTGAAATGGTTAATAGTGTGATCCTAAATAGCAAGAAACGTAAAATGATTTCACAATTAACTGTTTTTTTACCTGCAAAATCTTTAAAATTTTTTCTAGATGTATATGTAAACGCTCTCATTGTGTTATCATTACATTCTTTAACCAACCCTACAGTTTCAGCTCCTAGAAGTAGCCTTAAATTAGATGCTCCAACAAGATATATGTTCTTGCTTCCTTCAATCTCTTTTCCTTCCTCCAACAATGGTCTAACTAAAAGTTGGGCTCCTTTAAAAAAGGAAAACAAATGAAGTAAATTACTATGTAATGTCACTTCTGTCATGAAATTCTTCGATTAAAGGCAGTGCTGAATTAGAGAAGGTTAGAAATGAGTAGATCCAGATGGGAAGGGAAAAAAACATCAATGAAAACTTATTAAATTAGAATATTTCCTATTTTAATAGGAAATTATACATAAATTATACATAAAGCATTAATAAACATGTAAACTCAACGTGTAGTCCTCAATGGAACTGCATCTACATGGAGGGAAGTATGCAGTGGAGTACCCCCAAGGCTCTGTTTTAGGCCCAGTACTNAACCAGCCAGAGAATGAAAAAAGTACAAAAGAGAACAATTACCATAAAATCAAACAACAGATTGCATCAGACTTGACAAAATGGGAAAATTTACAACTACCAATAATAGGGAGAATATCAACACTCAAGAGGAATATACTATGATTTTATATTTGTTCTAGACAATTCCAATTAGATTGGGGAAAGATTATTTTGATGATTTAAACAAAATAGTGTTAAATTATATTTGGCAGGGGAAAAAAGTGAGAATAAAATTAAAATTGTTACAAAATGCTAGAACAAAAGGAGGATTTGGCCTACCTAACTGGGAATTATATTATCAGACAACAAGTTTGATTTGGGTTAAGGAATGGGTAACATTAAGAAATTCTAGATTATTGACTGTAGAAGGATACGATTTGCTGTTGGGATGGCAAGCTTTCTTATGGTACAAGGGAACTAAAACACAGGAGTATTTTAGAAGATATTACATACATGAGGCTTTGCTATTAAATTGGGAGAAGATTAAAAGGCAGCATTATCTAAAAATTCCAGTCTGGTTATCAGCTATTGAAGCATTTTCATATCCAATAACACACAAAAAGGAATAAACAGTTAGGTATGGTGAAATATTGAAGGCAAAGGGTGAACTTAAATCTATGCAAGAACTGGAACAGCAAAGTATAAAAATGAACTGGTTTTCATACACTAGAAGTCATTCTAGATATGATAAAGATCTTAAAATGGAAGGTTTCCATGATAAAATGACTGAGTTAAATAAAATTTTGATAGGTACTGATGAAAAGATGATTAAAAAACTGTATGGATACTTATTAGAGGTTAAGGGTGTGTATGAGGAGAGTGTCTGCTTAGTGTATATGATAGGACCGGGTGTGCGACCTGCAGCCCCCTCCACTGAGTGCAGAAGCAGAAGTGGATGGGGGCCCAGATTCGCCCCCCATCCTGGAATGAATGGTGCGTGCGGCCGGATCGGAAGAATGGGGGGCCATGGGAGAGAGGTGGGGGTCTACGGGGATGTGGGAGGGTCGGAGCATTTCGGTTACAACTGGGAGGGGCAGATATGACGGGAGCTGTAGGGCTAGCCATTACCGGGGAAGAAGGACTTGCTACATCACAGCGATTCCTTGTTCCGGCCCCTCAGGCTCAACTCAAGGACTTGGTGGCAAAGGAGATCAGGGCCCTGGTCTCAGATTGCTGTTGCTAAATGCCAGGTCTGTGGTAAATAAAGCCCCCCTCATCCGGGACTTAATATTAGACGAGGAGGCAGACCTGGCATGTATAACTGAAACCTGGCTGGGCCAAGAGGCAGGAGTCCCCCTCTCAGAAATGTGCCCAGATGGGTTCCAGGTGCTCCACCAACCACGACACCAGAAAAGGGGTGGGGGAGTAGCAGTTATCATCCGAAAGTCGTTAGTTCCTCGTCTAATATTA